GCTTCTTCCTCCGCCAAGCCTCGATACCGAGTATCTTCACCTGGGAACCGATATTGCTGTGTTCCAATCTTATCGAAGCTAGATCGAAAAGATAGAGAAGGAGCTTAAAAGAGAGAGGGTACAGAGGGCAAATCCATCCAAAGATCGTCCCAGACGACGTTACTCGCGTCTATGTCGCAACGAGAACGGAATGCGAGTGTGCGCGCCGACGCGATCCAACTCAGCCTACCGTAAACCGCGAGGAAACGCCGGAAACTGCCCGAGACGTTCTCGCCTCGTCTCGTCTCGTCTCGTCTCGTCTCGTCGCGACAATTTGTACGTCCACGCGACCGTCTGCACGAAAAGATTGCAGAAACGCGAATCGCTCGACAAACGTAGCACGGCCTTCCTTCTCCCCACTCCCCTCTCCACTCTTCGTCAATTTTGCTTTTTTCTTCGTTGCTAGTCGCGGACGTCTTGGACGTTACGTAGAAATACGCGACCTCAGCTGTGTTCCCAGCGAATGCTCGAGCGCAAATTGAAACAGTCACGATACCCGCGGCTGCCGTCCGTCCGATCGCTCGTGAACGCCCCTCGAATCTCGAATCTCCGAGATCCGGTCAGATCCCGGATTCGGGTCCACGTGACGCACGCCGCCGCTGCATCCTCGAGCCTCTCGTTGCTCTCTACAATTGCGAGTGACGTCACGAGTGCAAACAACGTCATTCCGCTTCGCACGCCGTCTAATACCCGCTCGCGTTCGCTTCCTCCTATTCGGCCCAGACCTCCTCCTTCCTATCCCCTTTTCCCTTTTCCCCGCCCCCGGCCGTGTCAGCCAACACCTCCGTTGCCCCCGACCCTTCCTCCAGCCCCCTTCTAGACGGCCCCCATCACTTCGATCCACGTCCATCGACCGAGATCAAATTTTTATTTGTCACGATTTCCACCTAATCGACGTGAGTGACGCGTTACGCAACGCGATAACGCCAACTTGCTCCTGTCTTTTACCCTTCCTTCCTTATTCTTCAACACCCTCCTTTCCCTCTTCTTCCCTTCCTCGACAACCTAACCCGTAAACAGTTCAGTTTTATCGCGACAATCGGTCACGATGATAACGCAACACACCTCGTGATATATGGCTGACTGGTTTAGCTACCGGATAGTTAAACAACTCGATTTATGGCACACGCTCTCGACGGCAACTCCCGACAAAATTTTTCCATCCAATCACCGCAACGTCGCGTCGGCTCCTTTACAACCGTCCCACCGGTTCGCGGCCGTTTATAATTCGTATTAACCGTTCGCGCGATACGAATCCTTCGTTTGTTCTCAATCGATATTAATTCGCCTCCCCCTACGCGTAACTCGCAACCGCTTGCAAGCACAAACTTCCGGAATCTCTCTCTCTCTACCTCTCTCTCTCTCTCCTCGTGTCTCTGATGGACTGTGTGTCCCGTTCCAGCGGACAAAATATCTTACCGATCGAAACAGACAACTTCTCTCGAGGCCCTTCCAAATTTTTCCCAGCGCCGCCACTCACTGCACACGGTCTACCGTCGATGGATTCTCACGATCCTGACTCGCCCTGATCTACATCCCCCGATTGTCGCGCGCCTTCCTTCACCTTCACCTTCACCTTCACCTTCGCGTCTCGCCGCAACCAACCCCCTTTCTTTCAACCCCCTTTTCAACCACCGTTCGATCCTCCCGTCACGCCAACCGTTTCCTTTTCCGATCTTCTTTCGCGTCCGCCACGTTTCCCCCCCCCCTCTCTCTCTCTCACTCTCTCTCTCTCTCTCTCTCTCTCTCCCGCCCTTCTCTCACTTTCTCACTCTTCTGTTTCCCCCCCTCCTTTAATCGTTTACTCAGTCACCCTCGTTAAAGAATAGACCGACAAACAGCAGCTACCACTGGAAGAAGCAAGTAGCCTCCATCGCGAACTGAAACTGAAGCAATCGTGGATGCAAGGGGTCCGTCCACGGTATCCCATCCTCCTATCTACCGTTTCGAACGTGTCCCCCTTGGGCCCTCTCTCTCTCCACGTCACGCTTTGCTTCCCTCCACGATCCTCAGGGAGTCTCCCTTACCCTCCACCTCCTCTCGATCGTCGCTCTCCTATCGCACTACACGCTCCACTACTATCTCGACTATTAATATAAAAGGGGTTCCTCGACACTCGCCGCACCCGGTAATTGCACAGCGTGCATCACAACCGGACCTTTACCGTTCACTCGAATTTACGCGTACACTCGCGCCAATCCTTTCCTCTTACCCCTTCCCTCCCTCGTCCTATT